TTTGTAGTTGCTGCTGATGGTCGATACTATTGCAAATGTGGACGTGTTTACAAGCAAAGGAGGTTTCTTGTTTATCATCTCAGGCATGAGTGTGGCCGAACATTTCAGTGTCATCTTTGCCCAAAGTTTTATCGCTGTCGCAACAACTTGAAAGTGCACTTGGTTTCTTCTCATCATGAAGGAAAAGCTAACCCGTTTGATGAATCTTCAAATGTGATTTTACCCTCTACTACTGAGTAGATCATATTTAAATTTATTAATTAAATGTTGAATGTTAAATCAGTGTTAATATTGATGTAGTGTTATTTTGAGTGGATGTAGTTAAGTATCTAAAACCCAGAAATGAACTACTGTTTTTTTTTAATCCTATAAATATTATTAATGTTTTCTGCTTTTATGCTCTTTCCTGATAAAAATATCAATAGTGAATGACATCAATTCTTTATTGGTAAATACATCAGTTACGTGCGTACTCAAGATTTACCTATAAAAAATGCAATGAAGAGTATTTAAGGTGAGCTAGTTCTCTATCAAAATAAGAGTAGCACAACTAAAAAGAAGTCTTAAAATCATACTGTAACATATTTACCTCCTTTTATTGTTGTTTATTGGCAACATTTTTTTTGTCAATGAATTGTTTTTGCTATGTGATAAAATTTTTCTTGTTCTATTGAATATTTTCTTTTCTCATTCTATTGAATATTTTCTTGGTGGTAAATGACATTTCTAACTTCCAAGAACTCTTGTTGAGTTTAATTGAACTAATGTTTTTTCGTCCAATGATTGTTAACAGTGAAACTTTCCCTATTATAGGAAAAGAATTCCAGTTTCAACACTCTTCTAAGAATTATTGACTCAACTCTATAAAGTTTTTTGGAATTTTGAAGATAATTTTGTTTTGTGAATTTGATGAACTTTTACTGTTCTTGCTTATTTTTATGAAAAACACACCATTCCATTGTTTTACATATTGGCTTTGATAATTAAACAAGAAATCAATCTTCAGATGTGATTTGAGTCATTTTATGAATTTGATATTAAATCAGTAGGAGCTTATGACTTAAAGGTATGACAGGCTGAAGAGGATGCACAGGAAAATTCCATTCTTGGACTCATTTCTTTTAATTAAAATTACATAAACTTCATATATATCTATATATATATTTTTTTGCTAGCCTGTCTGCACAAGTATGTTACAACCTGTAGGCCTCCACTAATTAACAGGGTATGGTCTAACTTCCCGCAGGGACCAGCTGTTGTGGGAAGTAGATAGTATGATCTTAACTTTACTACTATAGCATGCTAACCACATTGCTATACCAGTTCCATGTGTATATATATATATATATATGTGTATATATATACACACATATGTATATATATGGGCCGGGGTAGCCGTACGAGCTAAGGCGCTTGCAATAGGTAATCAAAGTTAAGCAACGTCGAGCGTGGTTAGTACTTGGATGGGTGATCACCCGATTTGTGTGACGGTCCGCTAGGGAAAGCTCTGCTGCACGAGTCTCTCCCTCCCCAGGTATGTGAGACCAGTCAGCCTACTGGAGGCAACTCACACTTACTGGGCATAGGACTGATGACCCTACCCTGTGTACTTAAATCAGGAATTGGGATATGGTTTACCAGGATGCTAGTAGTCCCCCTGAGGTTCAGTCCATGGACCGTCTGTTTCGGGGAAAGAAATATAGGTCCTCATGTGCCTGCTGATTCTAAGCAGCCATAGTCCATGGATCTAGAGCGATTTGTCACTGTCCTTGAACCCTAGCGAGTCGGTGGGAAGGACAATGCCAGATTGGCCCCAAAGGGATCAGCTATGGAGCTGTGTAGTGTTTATTTTAACAAAAAGAAAATTCCCCAAAAATATGTAGCAGCACTGACTCATTCAAGTTTGGTTTGAAATATGAAATTTTAGTCAGCAATAAAAATTACTTTGCCAGGATGACATTAAACTATAAAATACTTCTTGTATAATTAACAATATTATATTGCTTACATTGAATTTTTATTTTTTGTTGTAAAAAATAAGTTATTTATTAAGCATTAGTCCATAAATATGTGGTTAGTTTATTATAATTATTTGTTTTTATATTTTGTGAATCCTATACAGGAATGTTTCCCTGTCATTAATAACAATAGTAAAAAGTGTTTTTGAAATCATATTGTTACTTTTATATCTACTTATTATTAAATTAGATTTTGTTTGTCATGAATGAACAATATTTTCAGCCTCACAACCATGGCTTATTATTAAGTACCTAAATTCTGTCTCTTTCATTACATCTGGTTTCTTTTTGGTCTATAATAAATAAATCTAGGTAGTGTTGAAAGGTCTCTGAAGACTGAGTTTTGTATTCCTTTTTTTCTTCTAGTGAAACATATGCATTTAATATTACCTAACATTAAAATAATAAAAATAAAGGGATCACCTTTCACGATAGAGGATTTTTTAAAGAAATTTATAAAAACATACATTTTCTTATCTGCAATTATATTTATTATTAGTTTTTTTTTTAATTACCATTATTCACTATATGATAAAATTGTTTATTGAATTAATTTTCAGTTTTTTTTACTATCTCTTTTAATGATTTTATAAATATATATATATATACAAACACATGCAGACAAGTGTGTATAATAATTTATTCTGTAACTCACTGTGTAAATGCATTAAATATTCTTAAATATCTCAGTTTGTATGTTACATCCATCATTTCCTAAAATTTGTAATTTTATTATTATTAAAATAAGATAACATATTTTGCCATTGAAATGATTTTAGTATCCTAATTTTTTTGTTCTCCACTTATTTATCAATGTTATATTTTAATGATACATCATTAAAAAATCTGGTGCATTGCATACATTTTATTTACCAACCGTAGAGTAGATAGGTATTTTCATATATAAGGAAGTTAAAGTGAAAACAATGGTATAACTTCATTTAAGTCAATAAAATACCATGTTTTTCTCACCCATGTCTATCAAATCTGTTAAATTTATACGTTTGTATCACTTCCTGTTATGACTGTGAATAGTATAAACCAATACTAATACTATAGGGAAAAATAGATCTTTTGGAAAAATTCTGAGTTTTATCGGAAACATTTATCATGAAACTCATTGAAAAAAATAACTTAACATCAGTAAATATTGTATATTGTTAGGTTTATATTAGTAGATCCTCAACATTTTTTGCGTGAAAACTTTTATTTAACTTACAAATACTTTTAATAAAGTATTTCTCTCTTCTCTCTGGATAAGTGATATATAAAATGAAACTAACAATATGAAATCCCTGTACAGAGGAGTATCGTGTATCTGTAAAAGGAGAGGATTGGTAAAGGTCGAGTGATCTCAGCTGTTTCCATTTAGCTTCCAACTCTTCTTTCTCCTTTAGTTACCAACCAATTTTCTTCAAACATAATATTTAACCATTTTTATATTAGTTCCCAATGTGAAATGGTTAATTATTTCAAATAAAAAAAATTAAAGGTACTTCAGAGGAAGATATTTTAGAAATTAGGCATTTAAACACTGTTGGAGAAAATGAATAAGAATGAGACCTCTATTATATTAAAAACTGCTTAAAAAATTCACTGATAAAATGAATTTAATCAAAATCGTTAGAGCCGTTCTCGAGAAAATTGTAAAATCGGTGATATAAAGTTGCACTTCCAGTTAGCCGATTTTGACGAAAAAGTTGCTGCAACATCCCAGGCATGTAAAAACCTTAAATACACAATTTCAGTTGCTTACGACTTTTCAATTTTGAGCTGGACTGTTCACATACCATTTTGCCAGAATTGGTTAATTGGATTCAAAAGCATGTATTTCTATTGAAAACTCAGATTCAAAAATTTTCACAATCGCAATACTTTTCCTTACTATGATTTTTCTTTAATAAAAGCATATATATAAAATAATGAAATAGGACTATCACAATTTGTAATTGAAAATACATATAATAGCTATTATATTTTATGCTTCCTTCACTTAATCTTTAAATTGGCTTCACAATTATTTTCAGAATCATATATCAAATTTTCTTTATTTTTGTATTTCCTACACAACCTTTTTGATAATTTAAGGTATTTAGACCACATCTCTAAAGTGTTTCCATGTTAGATTGTAGATAATTCATCCGGTGATGCTGCCCGGGTAAGTTGGGTCACTGCAGTTTATAAACTATTTTTCAATGACATACTCCTCTCTTTCTACTATGGAAGAGCATTTCTTTGGTATATCAACCATATTTTTTTGTTATTTTGTAGAGACAATATTTACTTCTTTCTCTTCAATGAATAGCTAATATAAATTTTTAAACCACCTCTCTGAAACATAATGTATTTCATGTGAAAGTAGTGAAATACTGAAATCCAAGTGAGAATATATATAAATTTTTTTTTATACATTAATTTCAAATTCAAACTAAAACCTTTTCTGTTCTGCAAAATTATTTTGATTTCCTAGTATAAAGTAAAATTTAGTAATAATTCTTAAAATTATCAGTAGCTCAAAACAAAAACAAAAAAATAAAATAAATAAATATCTTTTGCTTCTTAAATTCATGATGTACGTCAGGAGACTATAATTCTCTTTAAAATTTTACTCCACTCAATTGAAGTTAAAATTTCTGTAAATCGTAACTCAGAATTTATCATTAGGCGAAAATTGAAATTCTTTTCTGTTATGGAAGTTGGTGATGTTTCATGTTTTTTATTTTTAAATAGAGCTCTTGTCATCAATTATTGTATATTTTCTCACAATTTTACATACTTTTTTACAGAAAATCATGAACGATATAGTAACTATCAATATACATATACTATGTATTGCTTATTTTAATTTATATGTGATGTTTACTTCTTTAACTTTAATTTGGATTTTTGGAAATGTACTTAGTTTAATTATTCCACTATAACTGACCGAAGATGTGATTAATAGGAGGTGTGCGGTATTTCTGTCGCTGTGGACGAAGGTACATGAAACCCGCAGCTCTGAATTACCATAGAAGGAAGGAATGTGGAAGGACATTTCATTGTCCCGTGTGTTCTCGAGGGTACAAGACAAAAGGTGATCTTAACGTGCATTATAAGAGGAAGCACTTTATGCTTTCAGTACTTTAAACTATCTTTCTGTCTTCAGGGTTCTTCCATTGTTATCGATAGGGAAATCAAACAGTGTCATATTAGCAGTATTTATTTAGAATTTTGTATGACTTAGTTTGTTTAAATGTGATTAATTTTAAACAGTTATTTTTAAAAAAACTACTAAAAAGAGGGTGTGTAACATTACTAGATAACAATTATTTCGGTGGCACTAACTTTATTAATATTCTTACTCTGCTGACGATTGATTTAAAAATTAAAGATTTATGAAAAAACTATATTAATATTCTTACTCTGCTGACGATTGATTTAAAAATTAAAGATTTATGAAAAAACTAGAATATTTTTAGGTCATTGTCACTTTAGATTTAACAGCACCTGAAAGTATATATCCTTTTGTCTTAAAATTATTTAATAATTCAAAATATTTTTTTTGTGAAAATCATATAACTGTATTATAAATAATTATAAAATAAAATTGTTTAAAACTTGAATATTAAGAATGCTGGGGGTTTATTTTTCTTTCACTTATTTTAAGTATAGTAAATAATAATTAATGTATTGATTATTTAAGTTCAATAATGAATATCCATGGGATCCACTGTTAAGTTCTATTTTTCAAATAATTTTTAATTCATTAATCTGACTGGCTCCTAGTGAATGGTAACTGAAAGTTTCTTGCAGTCTGCATAAGAAACCTAAAATTTAGTTTGCTAATGTATAAGTATATTGGTGTCTAATACCAAAAGATAGCTTTGAATGACCTCCTTACAAGTACAAGTAGAGTTTAGTAGTAATTAAAAATATATATTCTTTTACCTCTGTATTATTTTAATTTTACTAGAACTTTATGGATATTTGTGTTGATTACATACAATATCTCTTCCCTTAATTTGTGTTGCTCTTTTTTTAATGCAATTTATATATACTCTAAATCATAACACTGACAAATGCTTACTAGTTAATGTTACTTTTCAGTAAAAGGACAACTGAATTATAAACTTGTTTTAAATTTAATATTAAAATTTTCAATGTCAAACAAAAAAATGATTCTTTAAACTCTAATCCATGAATACAAAGTGAAATTCATCAGATAGAATCAAAATAAGAGAAGTTTGGAATTTTATAGAATTTCTTGATGCTTTTATTTTTTTATGTGTCCAGTTACTTATTTGGTGTTTTTCAATTTCTGAAAAGACATAAATGATATCAATCTTATAATAAAAATGCATAATACGTATTATTTATTTTTTACAAATGGTCAAATAATAATACTAAATTACTTAATTTTTGTATTAAATACACATACCTTTTCTTTAGGAATTGTCCAAATGATTGTAATACAGATATCTTGTCAAATATTTGCTTTATCATTTATCAATTAACAATCAGTCTTTGTACTAATAATAAGAAAAATTATGTAAGATAAAGGAAATACAATGACAAAAAATCTATGTTATAGTTATAAGGTAATCTATAATAACTAAATTGTTTATGAAAATATGAAGGGTGTTTATGCTACTATAAAAGTCTAAAGTGCAGTAAAACTAGTAAATTTTAGGATTTCTCAATGATACCGATCTAGCCGAAATTGAGCTTTTACCTCTCGAGATTTGGTTAGTCTCAAGTTGTTCTGAAGATCTTTGTAAGAGTTAGAAAAATAGCACGGAGTGCTTTAACATTCTCGGTTAATGTACAAACTTTCCACAGCAAGTAAATATAAGACAGTTGAATGAAAAGATTGCTCAAGTTTGCAGAATAATTGACATGATGGAGTTTGTTGTTCTTCTTTTCACCAATTTATCTTTGAACTTCAAGATAAACAGACAGAAAATTTTGATAACAATTCTTCTGTTAATAAGTTGTAATTATATTTCAAATATAGTTGATTAAAAAAGTTACACAGCCCTAGATAAAGGTGTCTTTGCAACTCAGGTAATGCAATAAAAAATGCCACAATTTCTAATTATATTGCAAACAAATCGTAAATGGCATTCATGAATTAATTGACTTAAATTTAAATTAACTAAAATATTAATTAATTTTTCTGTGATATGGTTCTTTAACTGCTGTGATGATGAATAATTCTATTATTATTTCCTGAAATGACTTATAACCTACATGAAATGATTATGTTTTTATATAGCTTTTATCTACTTTTCATTCCTCTACAAATCTTCATTTATACTTTCAAGATTTATTTATTTTAACTTGTAAAAAAAATGAATACTTGAGATAGGGATACGCAATATAAATATTGCGATGAGTGGTTAATCTAATGTAAAAAAGGTTTTGTTAATGATTTCTAGAATATTTAATTTTCATTGTTTCTCAATTATTTTCTTCTTATTCAAAATATTACACAAAATTTGTTTTGTATCTTTGGTAAAATTAATCATTCAGAATATTTATTTTGTTAGGCCACTTATTTGCTTTCTCTAGTAATGAATGATACTTTATATATTTATGATGCAACTGATTTTTTTTTTCAAACTGCAATTTGTATTTAAATTATATATGGAAAAAAATCTGTTTTATTTTTCTTTCTTTATGACCATAAGCCATCTGCCTGCTTTTTATGGATAAGTTTATTTTTCATGGGTAGCTTTTGTTCTGTATATTCTTTTTGGTATTTCAAAATAATATGTGAATCATACTACATAAAATCATTCAACTTAAATTGGCACATTATTAAATTTAACTCATTATGGTCATAATTATAGTTAAAAATCAACTTATTGGTTCCTGTACTGTTATCTTTTGTTATAATTTTTTATTTCTACTGCAATCTTTAAAAGATTTATCAGAAAATTCATATTAAGTGAAACTATTTTTGAAAAAAAAAATTCCTAATTTATTATTTGATTTATTTACATTTAATATATTATGTAAACAAATCATATTACTTAAAGATAGAAGAGGACTGTTATTTATTTATTGTATACTTTATATCAAGGAGACTAGTGTATGTTTCCAATAGAACAAATATTTTTTCATGAATAATAAGTATAAAGTATTAAAGTCATAACAATTGTTTTTTTTATTTGTCTTAACATTATTGTAGGTAATTTTATTAATTTTTTTTGGGAATGTGTATTATTAAGCTCAAAGAAAAGATTATACTAGTGTATATTGTATTTCAGAACGGGTCTTGATTTCGATGTGACAGTTCATATCAAAATCAATCTAAACTTAAATAAATATTTTGAGAAGTAACTTGGATAAACTCCATATGATTATTTCCAATTTACTTAAATATTTATATTAATATCCTTCAAATCTATTGCTGACTTCTAAAACTTTGTAGGTACAGTTTGCTAAAATACTGAATTCTTACTTATAATTATTGCTCATTATTTATTTAAATACTTATAATGGGTCATGTTATATTTTTAATAATGCCAGGAATTTTTATATAAATGTCAGGAACATACAAAAGAAAAAAAAAATTATACTTTTCTCCAATAGAAATATTTTTGTTTTCTTGTACGGAATTTTTCTTTTATGGACTTACAAGGATATAAAGGTAAGATATTGCTAAAATACTGTCTTTTATAAAAGATAGTATGTCAGCAATATCTCCTTGTAAGTGTATATATTACCACATATTACCAAAAATATCAAGGGTTTGTTAGTAGTTTACTTATTTCTAAAGCTAAAGTTATGGTAACATTTTGGTATCGTAAAAAAACAAAAAAATTTCTTCTTCACTGAGGTCATATTTTCCTCTTATTTGAATAACCAGTGAAAAACTATTTAATTTTTTCATTGATATGCTTACCTGAGGAAATCTAAAAGAACTATAAATCAATTGAGCTACTGGATTTCTTTTTCATATTTTGTTTTTGATTATATCATGATTTGTTTTTGAATTAATTTTACTGAATTGTTGGAGGTGGGAGAAAAATTGATGCCCACAAATACCACTTCTCTGACACAAATTGAAGACTGGAAATCACTATCATTGCCAAAAATTGGATTTTAAGCTATTCAATTTTTTTTGTTTTATCAAAACACTTTTAATAAAAAAACCTAAACTAAATTTTTTATTTAAGATCTATGGTAAGATATATATTATTATTGCCTAATTTTTAAAAAGATCATTCCTCTTATGAAATAAGAAAAATCATTTATATAGAAAAAAAGTAGAACACACTATGTTTACTTGCCTTATTCAGTAAAAACAAATTATGTGCCAGTTCAAACAATTTGAGGCTTTTTGTTATTTTTCAAACAAAGCACATTATCAAGTTGCTAAAATAATAATTAGTTTTAATTAATCAACTCATAAGAATGATCTATTATCTTCTTTCAAATATGACAGCATCTGATGTAGATTCCTCTTTTTTTAAGATACCAATTTTTTTAGAAATGGTTTTAATGATAAAACAAAGTCTTAGATTATATAGAGGTTAAAATTTTCAGGAACTTCATACTCTCAGTTTATTTATACTCACAGTTCTCCTATTTTAAACACATAGTTTCATTACTAGTCGGGCGAGAGCTTAGATAATGCTCTGTTTTGTTTCATTATTTTTATTGCTTTCTCTGTTGTTGTTTTTTTGTGTTATTAAAATGGTTTTGTTATTTTATAATCAGGTCTTGGTAATATCTGTGATAATAGCAAGTCACATTTAGAGTAAGATCAGTGCCTATTATATAGTTTTCTTGCAATATTTGTACCTTGTTTAAATAAATATTAATGATCGTTATGTTTAGCCCATTTCATAGGTTGTCATAAAGATCACATTTTTGGGTCTAACTTAACTTTCCATTTTTTAGCACTTAGCCCATTATTGATGTCCAGTCTTCACAAACAAATTTTCTAACCTCAAACTCAGTTTGGAGGAGCAATAGAGTTTTATGAATCTTTAAAAACTTTAATAAAAAGAAAAATGATGTGGAGGTATAAAAAAGTTGTGACTTCCAAAAAGAACTTCTTTAATATCAACTACAGTCAAATATTAATCGCTAATTCTGTAATTCAATTTTGAGAGGCTGTAAAAACCATGAAATTGTGCATCATTAGAAATCGTTAGGAAATAACAAAATTTTGACTGAATTCTTTAACACCTGTATGGTATTGTTCTGCATGGAAAACAACCCTGTATACCAGAAATGCCAAAATAAAGCAAGAAAATTATTTATATATAAATCACACCTATGAAACCCATATTATTATGTTCTAAGGGTTCTGTGTTGGATGTGAAATGCGTCACTAACACTCTCCAAAGCCTTTTGATACAGAGCAATAATCTATTATTTATTTTCAGTAAAAATATTAAAATAACTGACCCAGAGCAAAATTGAATCCTCGCCAATACAAACTAGCCTCTCTAGGGCCTTCGCTTTAAATTGCTTGAGGATTACAATCTCATTATATAGCTTTAGGTTAGTTTCAATAAAAATTTGAAATGCTAGATGCAAATTTTGAAGTCGAAATCAAGACATACGTTGTAAAAAATGTAAAAAAAAAAAGATACGCATTTGTTTATATAATTCTATGAGATTTTGTATTTTATTACTATCAGTAATAATACCTTATACTCAATCATGTGAGAAAGATTGAACCCAAAACTATTAATACCTTTATTAAATGTTCTATAATTTATAGAAATTCAGAATTGATGTTTGAAAATATTAGAAGTACATTATTATTTATGAAATAAAAGTTTATGAAGACTGTTCCTTAATTGACATTTCTTTTAGTCATAAAATCCTTTTATTTTTATTTATTCTTGTTGTTTATGATCATCCTTCATCTATCTACACTGTTTCTATTGCTTCTACCTGCTATTTAAATTTTTTCTTAGTAATTTATTTCCATTTCAACATTTAAAAAAAAATTGAATTGGCTATTTTAATTAATATTGCCCCTTGAGGATACATTTAATTAAACGTTTTTGTAAAAATGCATCACTCACACATAACATTTCCTAAACTAGTAGCTGCTTCTCCACCAAAACTTTAAAATTAGTTTTACATTTTGTCACTGTTCTCTAAGGATATTGCAAAAATACTAATATCGTATTCTTCAAATTCTTTTCTCTGGATGCTCCTACCTTGCCATTTCTGGCATACAGAGGGGGGAGGGTTTGTTCTAGAGGTACAACCAAACCTATTCTAACCAGGTCGAGATTCATTTTGTGGATCCACCATCAAATAAATTTTAACGTGCTCAAATCGGATGAGAACCGGCCGTCATTAGACTCAGAATGTTGAAGTTTACGCTTTAACATGCCTTGCCATCATGACCTCATATTCTTCAAATTATTTTTCTTCTCTATTGACTTATTAAGATTGAAATTTTAGTAATATTTTTAATATTGACTTGTCAGCAGTGGAAATTCTATACTCCCCTTCCCTTCCCCAACTCCTTATATAATGTATTATCAATACCCCGCTTTAACATTATTCTTAAAAGGTTTTTTATAAATGTCTGTAGATCTTTATAATTATTATTTTAAAAATGATAATTTTAGGATGAATATAAACACTTTATTCAGGTTTCAATATTGTGGCAATATTGATAAACAAGAAAATGTTTTGGTGTCGATATATAACACTAATTTAAAGGCCTGTTATTGAATAGTTATTTACTTATTTTAATTTATCAAATTACTTATTTGATTTGTTTTTATAAAATTTTACATCATTATCAAAAATTTTCGTTCACTTTTACAAACGATCACATTGATGTGTTTTAAGAACAAAAAACTTAATGCGCATATATATTTTTTAAAAACAAAGGAGTTTTATATCTTATATAAAGAAGATAAGTTAGATCATTTTTTCTTTGCTTACATCAGCTTCTATAGTATTAGTTAAATGGTATAATTTCATGTTCCTAAATAAATTGGATCTGGAATATAATACAAACAACACCGTACAAATAAAATCTAATACCTGAAATATTAACCACATTTATATAGAAATTGAACTATGTACTTAAATATGTTCAGAATAGACTATCTTGATAATGTTATATTGTATACGAGTAAGCATGTTTCGCTGATGTTGTTTATACGAATGAATTTGGGAGAAGCATAGAAATCTAACATAATATATACTAATATATATATATATATATAAAATAAATATTGTAACATAATATATACTAAAGATTTAATGTTAATATCCGTGTAAAAGAAAAAAAACATCCCATTCCAGGATGGAAAGTCTGCACCTATGGATGAGGGTGAAGAATTAAAGTTTTAAAAAACTGTATGTTTTATATATAATAAGAGAAATATCGATATTCCCTATTTCTGTATCGATAAATATTGTATGATGTTCCATAGCCCTTTGTAAAAGTTGCCTGATTAAGAGCCATTCTTATTATTATCGCATTGGAATTGAATTTATTGTTTCTGGCTAGGAACAAAGTTATGCAAAATTTTTGTTTAATTGAACAATTTCTGTTTTTTATACGGAATGTAAGGGATTATGTTGTATATTGAATACAACACATAAAAAATTTGTTAAAAATATTGAAGTGTTATATTGATATATTTTCTATTAGTTTACTGAACATTGTAAATATTTGGTAAGAAAGTGACCCATTTTTGTGTTTCAATAATCATTTATTTCTGTACTGATAGATCTGAGAAAAGCTGTTGATTTCAGGAATGGAAAAAGACAGATGGTTCTGCCAATGTGGCAGGCGATTCATATCAGCCGGACACTTGCATTCACATCAGAGGCATGAATGTGGTCAACAGTTCTTTTGTCCACTTTGTGGAAGGAAGTTTTCTACTAAGAAAAACATCCATGTTCATATAAAGAAGACCCATAAAATTGCTTTTATAGAAAGATAGAAACTATGTAATTTTTGTATTACAAGTTGGACCTGTGCTGATTTTAATTTATTCATTCAACGAGGTACTACAGTTAGGAAAATATTTAGCTTAATATTGAATGACATTATGACTATTTGAATTGAAATTTCATAATTATTAAATTCACATTATCAATATCAAAATAATGCACTAAAATTGCTCATTGATTTCAGGTACAGAGAGGAGGGGATTAAGGTTTTATTGTGATTGTGGGAGAAAGTTTATATCCATCTCTCATCTTCGGTCGCATCAGAAACATGAGTGTGGAAAAACTTTTCCTTGTTCACTCTGCGGTAAACATTTTAAGACCCGCAAACAGATCCCATTGCATGTCAAAATGGTACATTTTGACATGATTACTAAAACTGGACCAAAATTAGATTCTTAATCTAGTTAGAAGTGTATGTTGTTTAATAAAAAAGAATACTAAGTATTGGCAACAAATTCTGATTTAAGTTGTTGTTAATTTGATATTGAATTTGGTCTTATACTCCGCTGAATGGTAACATTCCAATAATATGATATTAGAAAAAATACTATAAAGTAGGTTTCCAATTTATCCAAAAGAAAATATTAAAATTTACTTTGGTTACTTCATTAAATGGAAGTTTATTAGATTGGATTATAGTTTTGTTTGATAAAAACGTAAAATAATACTTTATTATTACATTTTTTTAAATCTTGACTTATGTAACCGTGCTCAATGTATCTTTTATTGTATTGAAGTTAAACATATTTGAAACTTTTTCTGTATTTATTTATAATTTCCTATTAGCCAGTTTGGACACATATTTGTGCTTTTTTTTTTTAAAGACAGACCTGAGGTTTAAAAAGAAGTGCTAACTTTGAGTCATCATGCTTAGGCCTTAAAGTTAGAACAGTAATAATTTTTTAATTGATCATGCATATAAAGGAATATATTGAATAAACAAGAAATGAAACTATAACAGAAACCAAATATTTACCATTAAATGTCCAAAGTAATCATTTGAAAGGTAATTACGTTCCAACATATTCCAGATATTAATTTGAATGATAATTTAATTGTAGACAATGCTTACATAAAAAAAAATCTTAATAGGATCGATATTAGCTAGTATATTTCAATTTTTACTTTGGACTTTCTGTGTTGCTGTTTCTTCTTAAAGTGGATCATCTAAGGAACAAACGCCCAGGCTTCATTATTCAACATCCTCGAAAAAATCACAGTATGATTTCTGGTTAAGGGTTAAGTATCATCAAGGTATAAGGGTAAGGGTCATCACTCCTATAGACTTTTCTTCCTTAGGCTGATAGACTTTACTTAACATTTTAGATGGTCACCTATCCATCCATCTAATTAATTTTCATGCTCTATGTTACTCAGTTTTGTGTTGTTAATGACAATATTAAGATTATTTACTATCACAAGTGCCTTAGCCTGATCAGTCATTCCAGCTCCTTGAAGGCCTAATATTGAATATTTATATTCTTTTGATTTATCAAATTAGTTATTTCATTCGTTAATAAAATTCTATAATATTGATCTTTGGCACTTATATGTATCATCTTGATTTGTTTTAAGAAAAGAAAAAATTATACATATAAAAAATGAGTATTACCTCTTTTATATAGAAGACAATGGGTAGATAATCTTTATTTTGTTTACCATTGCCTCAGATTCTGTGGTGTATTGGAGTAATTAAATTATTTTATAATTTCATACTGATTACTATATCAACTTATTCCTATAATAACATCTTATTTTTACAGTTTTAATGTGTCCAAAGTATTTTCTATTAGTTTATTTTACATTTTAGAATTCTCTTTTTACCATATCTTTTTATTAATTTTTTCTTTATATTTTATCCCTGGCTAATTATAAATATTCAGTCAGAAAATGAGCTATTAATGAACACCTGGACCAGTTACTGACAGCCAATCTTCGGAAGACTTGGGGTACAGTAAAAGAAAAGAAGTGGGGATGGCATTTATTAACTGTTCAGTTTATAGTTCTCTACAATTATTTATGTCTGTACGGATAGCTCTTAAGAAAATTGTTGATTTCAGGATTGAATTTTTATGATTAATAAATTCATGTTGTCAGTTTCAACATATCTACTAAAATCATTCATTGATTTCAGGTACTGAGAGGAGGGGATCAAGGTTTTATTGTGATTGTGGAAGAAAGTTTATAACAATTTCTCATCTCCGATCACATCAGAAACATGAATGTGGAAAAACTTTTCCTTGCTTGCTCTGTGGTAAACATTTCAAGACCCGCAAAAAGATTCCGTTACATGTCAAAATGGTTCATTTTGACATTATTACTAAAATTGGCTCAAAATGAGATTTTTAATCTAGTAACAATTTATTTTGGTGTGGAGATGGTTGGCCATAATTATAATTTGAGAAGGAGTTGGTCGTGTGTACGGTCAAAATATAATTTTATACATACCCCTGACCAACTCCTATTCCTAATTAAAAAACAGTTTAATAATGACTACTAAGTCTATTTAAGTTGTTATTACTTTGTATTATGATATTATAATAATACAATAACGGAGGTTTTTGATTTATAAAAAAGTAAATATTAAAATTTAATGTATTTACTTCACTGAATGTCAGTTTAAAAATAAAATATAATGCTTTATTATTACATATTTACATTACTTATGTAACCGTGATCAGTGTATAAACATTGAAGTTAAACCTATTTGAAAAATTTTCTATTAGCTCCTTTGGATGTATATTTATTTTTATTTTTTTTTGTTTTTTTTGTTAAAGACCCGATATAGTGACATATAAAATAAGATTTGATTGCAAAAGAAATGAATTTGTAACAAAAAATAAATTTTTCCTAATAAATACTTAAAGTAATCAGACTGAATACAATATATACATATATTTATTGGGTCTTAACTAGTCCTGTTGTATTCACATTTTTTATTGTACTACTTCAAAACTATAATTTTTATTTGAAATGTAAATCGTATTGAATCATATCGTAAAACTATTCAAATTAAAGTTTTTAATTTGCTCTATGGTAACAGAAGTTATAATAAATTGATGGAAAAAATACTAGAAGCAGCTGATCAGATTAAGATGTACCAATTATTTGTAGTAAAACACAGTTTGTCTAGCCAATGAAATATTATGAAAACTGGATGTTTATTTAAAAAATTTCATAGTGTAAACCCTAGTCTCAAGGGAAAATATCGATTGTAGCAAAAAAAAAAAAAAATTACCTTTATTGTTTTATACGATTTCTCTTCAATAAAATTCCTTATTCTAACTCAAGAAAAGAATATTTCTCAACTTCTCTAAATTTCATACTTAATTTTCATATCCAAGCCTAAATCTCCCCTTTTCTTCTGCATCAATTTGTTCCCTCTCCTTCCCCATCTATGTTCTTCCAGGACTGGCTTTTCTACTTCTATTAACATAATACAAATTAACTCTGTTACCCATTTACCAATGGACTAACATGAAATCATCACATTCCACATCTTAGATTTCAGTGATGCTTTCAACACCATTGATTACTCCTGATTCCTGTCTATACTGGTTGATTTCTCCTTTCCCAATTGTATTTAGGATCCTCAGTCTACACCTCAGGGCAGTAACAGGTTCCTTTATCACACCTCTCTTTTTTTTTCTGCACTTATACGAATGTAATTTTTTTTCTTAGTTTGGTTCTTAGTTAGTTTAGTTCTTTCGTCTAGCATTGTCTTTTCTTCTTTTATTCCAATGAATCTTAAATTTATATCTTATTTTTCTCCTGAAAACTTCAATATGATAAAAAAAGATGCTATATGAATGTTTTGTGGTCAACTCTATTAAACTGAAATATCATTGTCTGGCTCTAATAATGTTCTCAATATCCTGCTTTAGGCACTTCATTTCTCCATGTTCATAAACTAAAATGCCACCCATTCTTCTTAACCTTGTTATTATTTTAGATCAAAACTTCTCCATCGAAGGCCATTCACATTCCCTAACCTTTGGATTCCTCATTTCATCCTTCATCCCTCCTGATTTTTTTTTTTTTTTTTGATAATGGTAGTGTGTTGTGGATACTTCCATACTCACTCTGATGCTGGTTTAAAAAGATTAATAGACTCCCTTAATTAATGATTTCCACTTGGGGAAGTTGTAATTAAGGTTAAAAAATAGGGTTGCTTCTTTTATTTAATTTTTATTAAAATGTGTTCATAAGATTGTTTAGAATTTTTTTATTGTATTTTTGAGAGCTTGAAAGTATTTACTCTTTATTTTGTTTTTTAAGCTATACCGTAACTTTTATATCCATAATAATAACATTCTTTGAGGACAACAACCTGAGAATAAAGATTATTTATTTCTTTTGACTACTGATTAAGAAGTAATCCAGTCTATAGAAAGAGTGATATATATTATTTCTTAGATAGTCAGCTTTTTAATGGTTGATTTAATTATTTTTCTACAATAACTGGAACAATTGAATTTTGAAAAGGTAATTTATTTTATTTTAAAAGGTAGTTTTATTTTTGTTTGTAATAAAACATCTGAATTTTATTTATATCTATACTAAAGAACAATGTAACTTTTTTAGGAATAAATCGGAAAATATCTCCTATGAAACATCAATTTCTTTGTATCAACTTTTTCTGAAGAAATATAAAAAGAATCTTGATTTTGGCATAAATTATGTTTTGTTATTCATTTACTAGAAATTATTTGTAACCTACTTAACCTTTGTTACAATCTAAGAGATGATGGTTAGGAAGAGGGAAGGATTGAAAACAACAATAATTATAAAGGATTTGGAGGCGAATCGTGATGGTCACTTGTAACAGTAAATAAAACAAGACAAGATTTATATTTTTCTCTTTAATTAATTTCATCGTCCTATCATCCTCCTTCCGACCATCATTTCCAATATTTTTTTTATAGTACTGAGGATATTCCTACAAATGCTGTTGATTGGACTGTAATAAAGGCATATTTAATTTGAAATTGTATTTTTTTTTTAATTTTATTTTAATAATATCCTAAATAGTTGCATATTTTTTTTCAAAATAATTTTTAAGAGCTCATTAAAAGTTTAGAAGAAAAAAAGAATGTCACCATTTAATCATTTTGATGTTTCAAACAATGAATATTCTAGTAAAATATTTATTTTATTATATTTTTTGTAAATATTAGACCTTTGTGCTCTAAGGTCATAGGGTGGTGCAGGTTTTATATCTGTGTACATACATATTTTTAGGGCTTTTGATCAATGTCTTTTTTTAATTGTTTTGCTCCGGCATCATAGAAATTGCATTCAGTTAAAATATTGTTATGTTATAAAAATTACATTAATATTTTTTTTATTTATGAGTTCATATTAAAAAAGAACATGAATTATTTATTTGCAAGTTGTTA